AGGGAGAAATTCTTTCCTACTGAAAAACTTAGTCTTTGCCTTTCTCTCTCTCTCTCTCTCTCTGTTTCAATTTTGTGATTGTCCTTATGACCCTGTTTTAGTAATAGCAATATGTGCACAGGTCCCAAATGGTTGCTGACCTCTCCAAAACAAAACATTACTGAATTCTGAATTTAAATATACATAATTGTGTTGGATTCTAGATTTAAACCACATTAAGTTATCTCCCCCAATCCAAGGGTTGTCAGAAAGGTACCTAGGAATTCCAGGGTGTTCATTACACTCTTAAATAGTGCCCCAACCTCCCAGATCATGGACTATGATTGTTGAAACCTCACAAAAATGGAAACTTTTAAAAAAAATGGTACCCCAAAAAGTTGCCAATCCCTGTCCAATGAGATTACTGCAGCAGTTTTACAAAAACAACCTTAAACCAGGAGAGCCCATTCAAGTAAAAATGCCTCTCTTCTGTACAGGTTATACCTCAAAATGTTAGAGACTGAAGGAAGAGTAACAGGTGTGCAGGAAGAGGAAAAACTTACAGTGACTCCAATTCACAGTGAATCCAACTTCACTTCTTCTCAATTTCAAGTATAAAACTAAGTGACCACCTAGCTGCTAAGGGAAACACTGTAAAATCCCCAAATATGTAAATAATGGAGCTCAGTCATATCTAACATTGCTCCTTGGTTTAGAAGGGCTGCCCTGTCCTGAAGATTTCCTGCCTTTTGGGGGTAGGCAGAAACAGTTTGGTGCAGCTGAGTTTTTGAGTTTTTAGGGCATTAGCCATTTGATGAATCGTTGTGAAAAATAAAAGTGAAATAAATTAATAAATTACTTCAAGTAAATCTTAATCACCATGATGGAGATCAACAACCACCTTTTCAGAATGGAAGCAGCACAAAATAAGAAAACACCCAATGAAAAAGTTGGGAGAAACCCTGAGTCTCCAAGCTTGAAAAGTGCCTGGCAATGTCCCCTCACCTCCCAATTGACAATGGAGACTTGCCAGCGAGCAATCTTGTCTATGCTTTCTAGCCTTCGTTTGCGTTCATTGATGAGGCAAGCTACATTTTTCATGGCTTCATAGGCTGCCTTTATATCATTATAGTCGCTGTCAAAGAAAGAAAGGCACTTGGTCAATCCCTGCAGAGGATACATTTTATTTACATACTAGGTTTATATGCCACTCTAGTCAACAAATGACCCTGAGCAGTCTACACCTACCTCATGCAATAATCAAGCTAAAAAAAGACAAAGTCAAAACAATAGCAAAACCCACAGGAATAATCAGTCTAATAAAGGAGAAAAAAAATAAGTTTAGTATCCCAAAAACACGTAACACCAAGCATTCTCCTACAGGAAGGAACCATTCCATCTGCCGGACCCCAAAAGCCTGCTGAAACAGCAAGGTCTTAATGGCCTTACAAAATGCCAAAAGTATAGGGAACAATCTAATCTCTCTTTTGCATTCTCTCTGACCCACATGCATACATTCACGCAGAGATTTGTGGGCAGTGGGGAAGAGTGGCAGGAGAGTGCATTTTTACAAGTACCAATATGGGATCTTTCCACTGAGCAGAGACAGTTGCTCAAAGAGCAATCCCTTTGTGTATGCAGAGAGAACATAGGACAGCTCAGACAAAAGGAAGGCTGGAACCTTTTCTGTACAAAGCTATGCAAGTCTTTTCAAAATCTCCAAGGCAGCCCTGCATTAAGTTCCAAAGAAGAAAGTTGCAAAGGAAGGAATCAGACAACAAATATCTCCCACACTTCTAACAGTCTGGTTGGGCAACTGCTGTTGAAAGGGATTTCTGTCCCAAAAGAGTGTGTGACGTACCTACTGCAACTTCCTGTCCAGGTTGCATATTAACTGAATTTTTTTATGAATTCACACACTTAGTTGCCTTATTGTCTGAGCATTTTTACAATGGGAACTAGAGCTTACAGCCTTGCTGAAAAAAAGAGATTGCCTATGGAGCAATTTTTGAAGCCACCTTTAGATTTAGAAAAGATGTGACTAATGGCCCCCTTGCTGGTCTTTGTTATTCAATACACAGTCAACTGGAAAGAATAATAAAATGCATCACAAGAGTGATTCAAACAAGCAGAGCTATTCCTGCTCTCTAGTGGGCCTGCTCATCATATCAGAAGTTATTAGGTGTAGAAAGATTCTGATATTGGAGAATATTTCAAAGATAATATTCACCTACAGTATGTTACTTCTGGCATGATAAAAGGGCTGTATGATTTCAACAAATGCACTTTTCAGTTATGCTTCAAAATGCAGTTAACTGGAAAGACCATATAGTGAGCATCTCAACTGCTGCTTGTGAACACTTCAAACGGTGCACAGTTGCAATTTTCGCTCATTCATTTAAGAGAGCTGACATAATAGGTCAGGGGTCAGCAAAACTGCATCAATAGAAGCCAGAGCATTTATAATACCCCTAGAAAGCACTGAAAGACCAATACATTAAATAACAATGTAATATTCAAAATCTCACATGATTATTAAGCTCACAAGATTTCACCATTTTCAAATCAGATTTCATGAGCTTGAATGGGAACGCTGAAATCTTGTGAGTTCTTGCGTGACTCCTAGAAAAGAGTGCTGAAATGTCACTAGCGATTAAAAAAAATGGCCAGGGGCCAGAACATTGCACAGTATTATGCAAGAAGGCTCCGTTTCTGAAAAGGTTACAGACCTCTGTAGCTCAGACAACAGTTCACTAGGCTCTTAACAGATTGTTCGAATAAAATAATCACACAGCTAGTACTATGGTATATATAGGACTGACCTCTGCCTCTGAACTACAACTCTGTCCTTGCATAGTTACCCATCTTTATCCTCATACTAACGGTGAGACAGAATATGTTGAGAGGTATTGAGTGACCCAAAGAAATCTAGGAAGAAGTTAGTTTGTGTTAGATTACATTTCCCATTTTCCCAGGTTGCAATGTAGGGTATGCACCGAAGGAGGTGGGTGATTTATAATGTTGCAAGGATATAGGATTACAAGAGAGATTTATATACATGTAGTTTGAAATTCATGGCTGTGTGATGGGAGCTGCCATCCAGCATATCTTGAGAGCTCTAGGGTGAGAAGTCTGCTATAAAGCAAGTTCCTCTTTATTTGATTACTCAAAAATTCTGAATGCACCTCAGTCCATTCAGAATAGCAGAACTTGTATCAGACCTATTATGTAATCAGCAAAGCATTAAAGCTCTGAATCATAATTTATTGTATGACAGTTCACTTTCTCTCACACTGGTAATTTCCATTCAGTTTGCGTGAGTTAAAAAAAGAGTTCAGTGAGGTGTGGACAACTGAGTAAGAATGACTGGTTCACCTTCTAAATCAGTCTTCCCTACCTTAGTAAGTTGCTGGGAAAGATTGAAGGCAAAAGGAGAAGAGGACGGCAGAGGATGAGATGGTTAGATAGCATCACTGAAGCAATGAGCATGAAACTGAGCAAACTCAGGGAG